TAAATAATATATATATATAAAAAAAAAGTTTGATTTGAAATTTTTTTTAAACGTATATTTAATTTATTCATTTAAGAAAATATAAATTGAATTAAATTAAATCCCACTAGCCCAAAATGTAATGATGATGATAATAATAAAAAAAAAAAAATTTTTAATGACCAATTAAACATTAAAGTGAACTTGGGTGAAATTATTTTACGAAAAAAAAAAAAAATAAATTAATAAACGAGAAGAAGAAAGTCTTGGACAGCTTTGAGGAGGATTTTATTAATTTGTTCTCCAAGAAGAATTTAAATGCATTTTATTATTATTATTTTTTTTAATTTAATGATTTGAATGAAAACATTTTATATGTTGTGTTGAACAAAAAAAAAAAAAAAAAGCATTGTAACCTTTTTGTGAGTAAATCTAATGAATTATTTAAAACGGGTGAGCTCGCCAATTCTCAAAGTAATAGACCTTGAAAACCGCAACAAACAGAAAATGTTATTATAAAATTTTATAATCTGCAGTAAAAAAGCAGTTGATGAGGTTTGATTAAAATAAAAACAAAATTATTTAATTGATAATTTAAAATTTAAAGGACACGGCAAATATATTTATATATAAAAGTAGGACATGATAATAATGACAAAATAAAACACCACACTTTTTTTTTTTCTTTTCTTTTCGTTCCCCCTCCCCCTCTAACAAACAATTTCATTTATGAATTTATGATATTAAGAGTGGTAAACAAATAAATAATTAAATAATTAAAATGAAAACTCACCGGAAAAGCTCGAATCCTCATAACTTTGCCTTCTTTTTTCGCAATTCCTCCTTTCAACATCGTAATGGTTTTTGGCTTTCAGCTGATTACCACTTAAAGCAAGACAAACACATAACGAATTCCAGCATTAGCTGGATAATTATTGTATTTAAGTTAACTTAAATTGTTGAATTCACTTACGAAGAGTTACCTGAAACGAATCGTAATAAATAATTTACTGGAAAATGAAAAATAAAAAAAACTTTTATTTATAATTGAAAACCCACTTCTACACAAAACAGACGACGTCCATTGAGTTTGACATTTCACACTTACCTCCGCAATAATAACGAAACATTTTTATTATTATTTTTTATTCTTCATATTATCCTTTCCGTAATTTTTTTTAAAATTTATTTTAATAATTTCAAACGATTTATATTGTTTTTTTTGCAATTTTAAATAATAACCAAACGAAAATATCATATTTAACGAACGCGAATGAATACAAATTTAATTTTTTTCACACAGAAAAAACGCATTGCGTTACATATTGACAAGGCAGGAAACATAATTAACATAAAAATATAATGTTTATTTAAAAATTTATTTTCTTTTTTTTAAAAAAAAAAAAAAAAATTACATTACCGTACGATTAAAACTTAAATTTTATATTTTAAAATCCAATTTCTTTATTTTTAAATTTTTTCTAAAACAATTTTAAACGTATATAAATAAATTTTTTTTTTCTTCAAAAGTTTAATTGGAAAAAAATCATAGAGAAAATAAATTAGTATCGAACTTTTTTTTCATTAATATAATATGTTTATAGTAAAAAAAAGTTTACCTCAAAAAGTTGAAACATGAATAAAAAAAAAATTATTTTTTACATCGTTTTTAAATATTTACTCACAAATAAATTACATTTTTTTCATTTTGTAAAATTAAATAAACATTACAATTTTTTATTTTTTTCGCTTACAATTTTGATTGACAGAAATATTTATGTTGGCACTAATGAAAATTGACAGTTATAATTTTTCATGTTCGTTGCCGTGGATACTCTTTAATTCGCCAACAATAATTTTCTTTAAAAAAAAATATTTATTTAGTATATTGAATTTTTAAAAATATCCAAAAAAAATTGTTAAAACATGGCCAATGTGCAATTGAAAACGGTTGTCGATCAAATAAATGCATTATTGAATAAAAATTACAATGTCATTTCATTCGATTCTTTGACCGAAGAAAAGTTATTGCAGGTAAATAAAATATTGCAAAAAAATTTGTGTGGCATATTTTTTATTTTGTGATGATTTTTTTTTATGCCCTTGCACTTTTTTGATGAGGGGGTCAATCTAATTTTTACAGGTTGTCACTGATGTCTTGGGTGAAATTGATCCAACAAATAAAGTTGATATTCAACATGAAGAATTAGATGAAACTGCTGTGAGAATATTGGAAATGTTAAGAATTTTAAATTATAAACTAAAACCTGGAATGTCTGTGTAAGTTTCATTATTATTATTATTATTATGATTACTGTTATTCCATTTTATATTTTCGACATGAATGAGACAAAAATTAATTATTTAATTGTTCTTCGTTGTTATCAATTATTATACCTATTTAAGTATTTTATTAATTATTGGTTTTCAATTAACTACATTTTTCCTTTGAATACACAATAAATATATTATACATATATTTTTTTTTTTTAAAATGATAAATGATATAATAATTTTTTACATTCAGATCGACTTTTCGTCAAGGTTTGGTTCAAGGAAACAAAAATGTCATTCATCCGATATTAGAGTGGCTTTTAGCTAACATCAGCGATCTTAAAAAGAGATCATACTTGGCACAGTATTTAGTAAAACTTGAAATTCCACCTGAAATGCTATCAGATCCTGAAATTGGTTATTTGTACGAGCAGTATGAATTAAACATTGAAGACTTTAAAGATATTCATAAGAAATATGAGGCTTTAAAAACCAGTGGTATGTCAATAAATGAACTCAGAACTGATATTTCTGCAATGGAAAAAGAAAAAGACATTGTACAGAAAAAAATTGAAAAATTACACCAGAGGGTGAGTTATTCGAAAGATTAATTGCACTTATTTAATTCCTTATCACGAATGTAAATGTTTCGATTCTTTTAAATACGTAATCATTTTAGTTATTCGCATTTAAAATAAAAAAATTTATATTGTTTAATTAATTTATAAGGTTGACAATATATCTGGTAAAATTGCTTTGCTTCATTCTGCAAAAATATTAAGAGAAGAAAAGGAAAAGGAAAAAGAATTATCATCTCAAGCTGAACAACAACAATCGCAATTATTGATGAATGATCAGAAAATGAGAAGGCTTCAAATTCAATTAAAAGAACTTAAACAAGCATCTTTGGGTGCCACTTCTGAAAGGTTACTGAAGAAATTGGAAGAAGATTGCAGTGTTAATAACTACATGGCAAAACAAAAACTTCCACAAGAAATCAATAATCGCCGAACGGAAGTAAAAATTTTAGAAAGTGTTTTAAGGGAACCCAATATCACTCATGCAGATCTTGAAGATTTAAGTGCTCAGGTATAATTTTATTCGTTAATAAATAATTTTCATCATCATCATCATCATCATCATCATCGTGATATTTTTTTTCCAGATTCAACAAATAACATTGGAAATAAATGAAATGGTCGAACGACATCTTGCAACTCAGAATTTAAGCGAAGATAAAAATGCACCTTTTAGACAACAAGCCAGCATAATAGCTAAGAAAAAAGAAAACAAAGCGGAAAATTTAAACGATTTGAAAAACGTACTTGCAAATTTGGAAGAAGAACTCGAAGAAAAATTAAATAAATTAAAAGAATTAGCCGGCGACACGGTTTTAAAAGGTGAAGAATTTAAAAAATACGTTGATAGATTGAAAGGGAGAACGGTTGTGTACAAACAAAAAAGAGCCGAATTACTCGCTCTCAAATCCGAACATGGAATTTTAAGTAGAACGTTAGAAATATTATCGTCGAAAGAAGAAGAAATTTTGAAAGCTTTGGTAATATCGATTTTTATCAAGTTAAAAATATTCCTTTTCAAAATTAATAATAAATTCTTATATTAATCAGCATCAAGAAGAATCCTTACACGGATTGTTCGGTTACCGAGATACGGTCGACACATTGGAAAAAGTTTCTGAAGAAACATCGGATATGGATACCGCAAAGGGAAAAACCTTGGAAGAAATGTCGGTGTTGGTTCAACAGATATCCCGTAGAATTTCGGCAAAAAAAAATCAATTGTCGCCATTGATAGCCGAATTGCGACCCCTTCGAGAGGAATTCAATGAGTTGAATGAAGAATACGAGCAAAAGAAAAAAATTTACGATTCGACGGCGTCTGCTTTGGACAACACAACTCATCTATTGGAAGAGGTACCTAAAAAAAATTACAAAAAAATCAATTGTAATTCTTCTTTTTTAAAAAAAAAATTACTTTTAATTATTTCAGGAAGTTAATAATCTCAAAATGGATATTGAAAATTACGAGAAAGAAATAAAAATATTAGAAGGAGAAAATAACAGAGCCAAAGAATACTCGGTGAAAATTTTGGACGAATTGAAATATTACGTTTCGAATAATCCGGAAAGCAAAAAACAATCATTCAGAGCTCAATTGAATCAAAAAATCAGCGAACAAGAAAAATTAGGGAAACAATTACGGGAAGAGCAAAAATTAGTAAAGGATAATCAAGTCAAAAAAGCATTACAAGTTCAATATTGGAAAGATTTAGAAAGGTAGTAGTAGTAGTAGTATCGTAACTCGTAGTTTTTTTTTTTTTTTTTTTTTTTTTTTCGTAAAGAAAATAATAATAAAAGGAAGACATTTTTTTTTTTTTTTTTTTCTTACAGTTTGTGGGAAGGTAAAAAAAAAGGTTTTGAAAAAAGTAAAAAAAATTCCGGAGTCGGGAAAAAAAAAAAAGGAGCAAAAACTCTTATTTTATCCCAAGGAATTCTTTCACAAAGTTAGGTATGTTGCTTTACTACATTGAACACATTTAACCATCAATTTAAAAATATTTCAACGTAGCTAATTTGTAAATTTCACTTTTTTTTTTTTTTTGTTTTAAATTTTAAAACGGGATCTAGGTAGTAAAATTTGACGTAAAAAGGTTTTCTCCATTTTTTTTTTTTTGTTTTTTTTTTTTTGTTTTTTGTTTTAAAATAATTTTAAATTTATTACAGGTTTTAGAAAAAAAAAAAAGAAAATAGTCGAATGCTTTTAGCTAATGAGAAAAACTACACAGAAGCTCACCGCGCTTTGCTTTGTTTTTTTTTTCTTCATAAAAATGCACAAGGGAAAAAAAAAAAAAAAACTTTGCCTCGCCATTCAATGAATGAATAAAGTCGTTGGAATGAAATAATTAAAAAAAAACAAAAACAAAAACCAAAAATGTTATCACATGCTACTACTACTACTACTACTACAACTACTACTAGTCCTTTAAAAACTTTAGCATTTGTCAAATTTATTTTGGAATTAAGTGAAACGAAATAAATGACAGGTAATGTTAAAAAAATTTTATTAGTTTTTATATTTTTAGAGTGGGGGGGGGTAATTAAAAAAAATAAAGGAATAGGTTTAATTTAATT